GCTGGGCAAGCGCCATCGCATAATGGTTGCCTAACCCTCTCTGAGAAACACAGACCATCGGTTTGGGAGGACATTCTGTTTTATTATACGAAGCATCAGCTTGCCTTGCTTCCCTCGATCCGGCATCCTGGAACCTTCCGAAGGACTTTGAAGTCAATCTAGCTCACTACGAAACTAAAAACCATCCCGTTATTAGACGTCAAATAAACAACGAGAAGGGAATATGAGCCAGCACCCATATGCAAAAAGTTTTCGCCCCTCGAAATGAACTATTTAAACGGCCGTTGTGGTGTCGCTGGATATACAAGGAATCATATTAAGAATATGGTGTAGCTTAACCAGAGTTGCTGGTCTCGACGAAGGGCATAATATCATTCAGCTGAACAAGCTCAAACTAATTATCATCAAAGAATAGAGAAACAAAACCCAGAGGCATCTAGACGCACGTCTGATATGCTTTCAACCAATCGTCTCAACTAGATCCTCGTGCAATGTCAGACTTAATTTCTTAAAGTGGACGAGTTAACCACGCACAAACTCAGCCGACTGCATACAGTATTGCAAGTCCTGCACGCAACTTTCATGACAAACTTTAACTTGCTAGTAAGGCATGTATTTGGATAGATTATTTTTATCAACTCAGTGGATTTAATAAAGGCCTTTGGTTGGAAAACGGCCTTCGAATTTAAAGCTATGAAGCGAAATAGGCAATAATTTTGGCTAAATTATGCTATATACTATGCTATAAGGTACGACATAATCAGTTCTTTTTACTAATGTGCAATGTGCTGTGAAAGAATAACAGAATCAGTACAAAATGTGGAAACATATTCCCTCTCAGAATTGTAAAATTGCATCCGAAATTGCTTAAAAGGAAGTGATACGAAGATAAAGGAATCACAATTATTTTCAGAAACAAGAAGCAATGTATGTCTTAAAAGTTGTGTTGAGCTAACGCATGAGGTTGTTTAACAAAAATTGCAGCAAAAGTTTTCGTCGCATTTTGTTTTAACCGCACGGCTCACCTTGGCGTTAAAGCAAAGTGTCTGCACATGTTACCGCGAATGTATTGTTAAAAAGGACGTACTAAATATTAGTCATGTGGAAGTATACATGTTTTATAAACTCTACGTTCGCTTATGCGTTACATGAAAGCGGAACAGAAAGAAGAATGAGAGATGTTACAAAAGATGACCATATATGGCCAATGCCTCTTGCATTCGCAAGCTTATAACAGATCGTGGAATTAATGCACTTATGCGGAACATAATCTGCGATAAAGGGAACAGTAAGGTCTTTCATTTTCACCTCAACTTAATCGTTCATCTTCAAGTACATTAAAAAATATTTCAAAAGCCTTCAATTTTGATTGTGACATTGCCTTGGAAAATTTAATATACACAGCAGTTCGTCAGGTGAATATCTAAATAAAGCGCTTTTTTAAAGAGGAAACCTATTATGGCAAGATGTTTTATTAGTCTTAGGAACAATAATATCCGAGTTATCTTGCGGACGGTGTTTTTTCGAGACATTATTGCCTGCTGTTTAGAGGCATTTCTAAATCTGATCCACATGACCATCTTCTTGAGAACTTATATCCCAAACCTCATTTTTTATCTTTTTTTTATATTTTGAAGGTTTTGACTGAAAACGATCGAAATGATGGCAGACTTTATTCGACGATATTCAATAAATATTTATCCACTAATGGCAATAGGTGCAAAATATTTTCACGTAAGAAAAGTTCTTATTATATAAAGAAAGTGGTTGCTTAAAGTTTTTAACCCAAACAAATATAAAGTTTATTGTTCTAATTTATAGGTATGCTGTATATTATTAATTCTAAGTTTTCTTAAATGCGTTCAGGCCGGTATTCAAGTGATTATCAAACTTTTACAAATTTAGTCATGTTGCACGCAGCACTCGTACCTGGCACCAAGGAAACGTCTGCCAGGTGGCGATTGGTAGGTCTGTTGCATTTTACTCACAGGCACGCTGCTAAAAGACTTACTTTTGTCCACGTCACGCTCTTTGTCGATTAGCTGCTGAATCCGTCCACATTGTCTTCCTGTCGATCTCCCGCTTCCGGTGGGTTCGCTACTGGAGCTGCGCGGGACTTGGCACTAGCCAATCGACGCACGCGATTTCATTGATTGGCTGCAAGTGGCAGGGCACACGTCCCTGAGCCAAATAATCCTAAAAGTGTAAACGGGCGCACGAATGACCTGAAGAGACAGTTAGCCACAACCGCTTGAATAGCCTCTGTGTGCTTCTTATCTCAGTAAAAATCCGATTCAAACTAATCTGTCTGCCCTGATTTCTGATGTTTGAAACTTTCTGGTTTTCAACATCAGCACTTCAACAGGTCACCTTTTTAACTCTTATCCAGTACTAACTGAAGATCAAAAATAAGAAATCTCCGTGCTTCAAGAGATAATAGTGTTTGCTTTAGATATTCAACAGCATACTGAGGTGGGCTCAAACACTGACTCATATTATCACAGGTTGACGATGCCTTTCCATTCGCATCCATTTCTGAGTCGAAACTCTCCATAATTCGGCAGCGCATAATCAGTTGTTTCACGCTCAGACTGTTTAGGTATTTGTACTTCTACTTTTTTTCTTTGAGGAAGACCCACTGGGTTCTACTTTACAGAATGTCAAAGTTCTCTCATAACATTGCAAAAGAATGTAAGAGACATCCAAACCTATGAAACTATTAGTAAATCATTGCTGTGACTGTTTTTACCTAGCAAAATACAACCAGAAAAATAGTTACCATAAACGTTTTCCCATCAGCCGAGAGGTGAAGATGATATTTGAGCAAAAGTATACAGTTAAACCTCGGTTAACGACTTTCATCCGTTTTGGCGCCGAGCTCGTTTTGTGAAATGCTCGTCTTGCGAAACGTAGCCAATCAAACTGTAGCAGTTCACTGGTTGGCTGCAGGCGAGAGGACCAACACCCTGGGAGCAGGACTCAACGGCGGAAACAGGCATTCACACACACCTTCGCATGCACTGACAACTCGTTAACCGGGCAGAAGTTTGCCAATCGAAACACCTTTTCTGTTAGTGGCTAGTGCGTTACCTGAAATGCTTCTGGATGGAGCTGCTCTTC